ACACACACACACACACACACACACACACACACACACACACACACACACACACACAGCAGTCATCAGTCATTACTGTCCTGGTTTCTTTACTGCTCCTCCTTTATTGTAACAGTTGGAAGTCCACTCCAGTTATTGGTCTCCCTGAATAAMAAGGATCTGAGGAGGCGGCGGGGGAAATCTCTCCCAGGATTTCTTTATGAGAAGCAGCCACTCATGTGCATTACAGGGTGTGGATAATGTGCCATGTAAAATGAAGGATTGCTTACAGCTGAGTGATGTAATGCCCCACAAATAATCCCTCTCTATCGCAGTCGGAATCCGTCACAGGCATCCATCTGCTTTATTGGGCAGCGGCTGGACGAGACCAGACAAGTGATAATATTTACGGCGTTAAAAGTGAGGCGCAGTATTTTCAGCGGGGGGCGTAGAAAAGGGAAATAAAAAGTCATTTTTACAAGACGGCGCGTCTCGGTGCTGATTGTGTTTGATGGCCGAGCATCCTTCGTGCTGCTGCGCTTCTCCACGCCGAGCACTAGAGGACCCACTCAGCTTCCTTCTCAGAGCCCACCCTGAGGTTTCAGTGGTCCCCCTGAAAACTGCCAACCATTCCTCCCTGTTTGTAGTAATTAAAAAGCTATTACTCAGTGGAAAGAGAAGATGCAGTATGTTTGTATCACAGCTCTGACAGACGCACATTATTGTTTTTACATTGATCTGGTGACAGATCACTGGAATAGAGACGGATGCTGAAGACGATTAGCTGAGCTGTAGTTTCAGTGAGTACAAAAAATACTAAAAGCAAAATGTAAAGACTTTTGCACAGACCTCTTCAAGTTCTGCAGAGCCTATTAATCCCCTTTTTATTCTAATCAGTGTTGGAGCAGAGAAACCTGTGATAACATACAGCAGAGCCGGCTCTTGGCATAGGCGAACTAGGCGGTCGCCTAGAGCGCCATCTGCTGGAGGGAGCGCCGAACTGCAGAAGGTCCCAGCTTTGACACGTCCTCCCATGGAAGAAAAAAATACTGTTCCAAAAAATTTATTAAGAGACCAGCTAACCAAATCCATAAAAATAAAAATATCCACAATTTCTTGTTTCAGATGAAAAATGTAGAGAAGGCTCTGAGCAGCAAAGCAGGGAAGATAAGGAAGAAGTGTCTCACTCCTCCCAGAGCGGAACAAAAAAAAAAAAAAGAAAGAAAGAAAAACCAAGAACCTTCAAGGAAACATAAAATGAAATTAAGTATTTCTACATTTCTTTCAGTAGAAACCCTGAATAATGAATGAATGAATGAATGAATGAATGAATGAATGAATGAATGAATGAATGAATGAATGAATGAATGAATGAATGAA